AGGGAGAGTATTGACATGGTGGGTTCAGCACTGTGTACTTGGCAATGTGTTTTTGTCTTTGTGTGTTTCAGGTTTTTATAACTTTATTGAGGTATCATTTACATGCAATAAATGTATCTGAAGCAAATGTCCATCCAGTCTGATGACTTTTGACAAATGTGGCTACTTGTGTACTCTCTGCCCCAGTCAAGATACAGAACACTTCCACCCCCAACAAATTCCCTCACACCTCCACCCCATGAATCCTCATCTCACCCTCTGCCCCGCAGAGTCACTGTCCTGATGTTTTTCCACCTCAAATCACTTTGTCTCTTGCAGAACTTCACACAAATAGAACCACACAGCATGTGCTCTTCTGTGTCTCACTTCTTTCTACACTCCTTTTTATTGCTGGGTACTATTCCATTGTATGAATAGGCCACAGTTTGTGTAGCCTTTCTCCTATTGATGGAAATTTGAGTTATCTCCACTATTGGCTATTTTGAATAAATCTTCTGTAAACATTCTTATACAAATCTTTTTATGAACGTATGTTTTTTATTTCTCTAGGGTAAGTATCTAAATGGAATAGCTGGGTCATAGGGAGTTGTATATATAACTTCATGAGAATTTGCTAGACTCATTTCCAAGGTAGTTGTACCATTTTAATTCTCATCAGCAAATTAAGAGAATTCTGATAGCTCCACATCCTCACTAAAGCTTCATATTATTGGTGTTTTTAATTCTAACCATTTCTATTGGGTGTAACCTCATTGTTTTAAATTGCCTTTCCCCAATGACTAAAGATATTGGGCATCATTCATGTGCTTATTGTGTATCTTTCTATAAACTGTCTGTTCTCTCAGTGGTGTGTTATATAGATTTCAGTGCACAGGTCTTGTACCTATTTTGTTAATTTGTTCCAAAATGTTTCTCTTTTATTTATGCTGTTGTAATTTTTTTTAATTTGATGTTTAATTGTCGTTAATGTTTGTCAGTATTTTCAAACCTACTTTAGTTTTTGTGTCTGTATTTAGGGGCAGTATAGTGTGTAATAGGTTGAAATTAATATTTTGAGAAGTTTGCTGTGGATCACAGTAGAACCTGACCTTCTGTGTAATTTTTCGTGTTTCTTGGGATTGTCTGTTTGGTCAAAAGGACTGAATATAAATAAGAATACAGACAAAGGTCATATTCTCTTCTCAGTCTCTGGCTTGTAATGTTTTTTGGTCTTGATACTTGAGAATGTCACTGTTTAAGCATAATAACTAAGATTAGCTCAAGTCCTGCTAGCAGAGGACAGCTGCTGTTTTGAGCTTGCTCAGAATCAATGCCCAGAACCAAAGCCGTCCCAGCGTATGAAAAGCCCGTAACTGTAGTCTCACCGTCAGTCGATGAAAGCATAGAGACTGTCTCTTTTGGCTCAGGGGTAGAAAACGAGCAAACTTCTCATGATAGAATGCTAGATCCAGTTCTAGTTCTCATGATAGGAATGTAAGTTGAGCAATAAAGAAACAGCATAAGAAAGCAGATTCTTGGCATTTACATGATTAAAATAAAGACTTATGTTCTTTTTCAATAGGTCTTTTCCAATATACTTTGCCATGATTCCTCCATTTTCAGGCTGAGGTAAATGCTGATTTCTACCTAATTTCTTAAATGTAAGCTAGTGTTTATTTTAATCTCAATGATTTTAACATTCTAGACCATTGAAAACCAGGAATAATTAAGAATTCTTGGAGGTGAGCTTAAAAAGCAACAAGAGATAGTTGTACAAGAAAAGAACCATACCATAAAGAAAGAGGAAGAGCTTTACAGGACCTGTGAGCAACTGGCAGAAGCTGAAGAAAAGCTAAAGGAAAAGGTGAACTTTTTAAAGTTATCTTCCTGGCTATATTTCCCGACTAAACTTTTTGTTTTTGATAATAAATGTTGATTCCAGTAGACCTAAATTCCGGAAATAGCACATGCCTCCCAGATGGACAAGTGTCAGCGCTAATGTTTTGGACAGTTTCAGCTCACATGAAGATCTTAACTAACGTCCTTTGCGAGGATTGTATTATCCTGGAGTCTTTAGATGAGAGAGGTCCTTGGTTCATCTGAACTCCTCATGATATCTTCACTCATCAGATATTTATTGAGCACTGTTGTGGCACTGTTTTGGGTGCTTAAGATCCATTAGTCGATAAAACAAAGCTCCTGCCCTGAGAGAGCTGTATTTGTCATTCTCCAAAATGTAAGATTTGTCACTATTGCCATCCCTTAGATGTTTGCAATTTCCTGAATCATTTCTTTTATAGAAGTAAGGTGCTGTTGTAATATATTTGTCTAAGAGCTAAGACTCTTATAACAATTGTACTGCTCTAGTAATTCTAAAATGCACCCACTGAGATCTTTCTGTTTATTCTAAGAACAGTGCCACATGCGTTATAAATAATATATTGTTGTTTCCATTGTGCTTCTGTGGAGTGTTTTTTTCTCAATATGTGTTCTCTTAATTCTTATCCCTTTCACTATAACCTAATTGAGTTTACTAAAACCTCCTGTTTCATACTCCTTCTAAAGAGGTAAAATCAATAGCCTTATGTAAAAGTTAATGCCTCAGTGTTTGTGTGGGCCACCCCCTAAAGACCTTATTGGAAGTAAAAATAAATTATCCAAAAAGATTTTAAGAGATGAGGAATTACAGTTTGACAGCTACATCTGTATATTTAGTCAGTCTCTTTTCTTTTTAAATTTTTCTCATTTTCACTTTGCCTCCTTGATTAACCTAGTGACACTATATTAGTTTCTTAGAACTTCTGTGTCAAATTACCATAAACTTGGTGGCTTAAAAACAGCTGAGATTTATTCTGTCACATTTCTGGATCCTTGAAGTCCAAAATCAAGGTGTTGGAGGACCATGTTCCCTCTGAAGTCTCTAGAGAAGAGTCCTTCCTGGCCTCTTGCTGTCCTTGGCTCCCAGCTGTCCTCGGTATTCCTTGGCTTGTAGCTGCTCCACTCCCATCTCTGTCTCCAGCTTCACATGATCTTCTCTATGTCTCTGTGTGTCCTTTCCTGTCTCTTATAAGGACACTCTCATTGGATTTAGGGCCTACTCTAGTCCAGTTAGAATAGCCTCTCAATCCTTAACTAATTACATCTGCAAAAGACCCTATTTCCAAATAAGGTCATATTTTGAGGTTCTGGGTAGACTTGAATTTTGGGTAGGACACTATTCAACCCAGTACAGACACTATGCCTAGAAAGTTACTTTACTTTTAATGCTACTTGTCTGTTTACATTGGGGTAGTAGATAGGGCTGTGATAATGATTCTTTCAGTTTAGCAAAGTGCATTTTACATAAGAATTTTAAGATAATATAGCAAAATGGTAATAATAAAAACTATATTTCTTAAGAGCCAACAACTCCAAGAAAAACAGCAACAACTTCTTAGTGTACAAGAAGAGATGAGTGGGATGCAGAAAAAGATGAATGAAATGGAGAATTTAAAGAATGAATTAAGGAACCAAGAACTAACACTGGAACATATGGAAGTGGAGAGGCTAGAGTTGGCTCAGAAACCTCATGAAAATTATGAGGACATAAAATCCATAACCAAAGAAAGAAATGATCTGCAGGAATTACAGGAGTCATTTGAAATAGAGAGAGAGAAACTTACAGAATATGTAAGAGAAATTGAAGTTATGGCAAGTCATACCCTTTTCTTCATCTATTAAATGTTTCTTTAAAACAGCCATTTGGGAAGGGGGAGGGGGTGTTAAGATGATGATGTTAAAATATTCTTTAAATTTCACATGCCAATAAAGGGTCTGGAAACAAAAAAAGAACTAAAAATTGCTCACATGCATCTAAAAGAACACCCAGAAGCTATTGATGAACTAAGAAGAAATGTTTCTGGGAAGACAGCTCAAATAATAAATATTCAGAAGGACCTAGAAAAATCCAATACTGAATGACAAGAAAAGGTTTGTCTTTTCTTCCTTTCTTTTTCCTTTGAAGGAAAGATAAGCAGTAAGTAGTTACTGAGGTATGGTTCATTCATTTATTGGATATTATTTGTTGACTGTCTACTGTGGCAGGCACAGTCCTAGGTTATAGAAGTAAAATGGCAACAAAGGGGACAAAATCTCTGTGATCATGGAGCTTACTTTGTAGTGGAAGGAGGTAACTGATAAATAAGCAACCAAGTGAATGAGATAATTTGAGATAATGGCAAATGCTACGGAGGAAATGAAACTTTGGGATAACTGGACCAACCTGTGTTAAAAGCCTACTGTGCCAGGCATTGAGACTATGGCTATGAGTGAGACATTGTTCTTTACCCCCTAGTAAAAAATCCTTCAATTGCAGTATGTTAAGTGCAGAAATATGACATGCAAACTTACCTGGTACCACTAATGATCATGGGAAAGGGGAATCAATCTGTAGACGTAAAAAAATTGAGACATAGCATTGGAGCTCATCTGAGAATGGGAACCAGTCATTTATTGGGGTATAATCTGCTCAACTATGATTTTTTTCTCCTCTAGCATTTGGGAACTAGTATAGAAATGAAGCATGCAACTGACTGAATTAACAATTTGTTGGGAAATTGTAAGGATTAGTTCACTTTGGATATAAGCTGGAGGAAAAGAAAATTATGACAGAATATGACTAGCAGAAAAGTCATGAATAGCTTTAGTAGGAATCAAGGGAAAATGAATAAATAGGAGTTTGTAATTGTAATTGTAGTAGGCCGTGAGGGCTCAAGATCACTTTCATTGCTATGGAAAGTATCCTGATCTTTTCCCTTTAAAAACTTATGACAGTGCTCTCCAGATAGTAACTTTGGTATTTTATGAATCTCACAAGATCCAAGGGCTTCCTAATGTGGAAGAAGTCAGTGATACTCAGGAAATGATGGATGAACTGGAGCCATTGAAAGAACCATCCAAACCCAAGGATTCAGCAACACTGGCAAGCACAGAAATGGGAAGGCTCAGGTTGATTGAAAAACTTCAAGAAAGTCCTGAAGAAATAAAATCTCTAACTGAGGAAAGAGACAACCTTAAAATAATAAAAGAAGCACTTAAAGTTGATTGTGAGCAGCTGAAAGAAGACATTAAAGAAACTTTGGCTAAAGTAAGTCATCCTTTCCTCCCATTTAGTTAGAGTTTTATAAGAATCAAGTCTTTGGGAAAAGGGGCATTTGTGCTATGGTTATGTTACTACCAATTTTCTTTAAAAGTCTCTTAATTATGAAGTGATTGGAAACAGAACAATTAAAAATTGCTCATAACTACTAAGAAACTATTGAAACGGAGAGAAAATGTTTCAGAGAAGACAGGTATTTTCTTTTTTGTTGTTGTTTGTTTTGGTGAGGAAGATTGGCCCTGAGCTAACATCTTTTGCCAATCTTTTCTCTTTTTGCTTGAGGAAGATTGTCGCTGGGCTAACATCTGTGTCAATCATCCTCTATTTTGTATGTGGAATGCCTACACAGCATGGCTTGATGAACCGTGTGTAGGTCCGCACCTGGGATCCGAACCTGCGAACCCTGGGCCACAGAAGTGGAGCACGCAAACTTAACCACTATGCCACCAGGCTGGCCCCACTGTTTCCTTAAGTATTCAAAATGATTTAGAGAAAACAATGCTAAATTATAGGAAAGGATAAAGCCAAATAAACTATTTTCAACTATTTTCTTTCCTTCTTTAAACCTATTCCTCCACATCTCAAATGGTACTACCTTCTTCCTCAATGCCTCAGTCAGAAATCTGGGAATCATCCCTACTATTATCCTTTCCTTCCTGCTCACTCTGTAATCCAGGACCAAACCTTGTTGATTTTAAGGTGTGTGTGTGAAATCCTTCCGCTTTGCTCTCCATGTTGCCAACACCCTAATCTGAGCCACTGTTCTTTTTTCCCTGGCTTTCTGCAATCGCCTCCTAACTGGTCCCCCACATTCATTCTTATTCTTCTCTAATTCATTCCCCATTCTGAGCCCAAGTGATCTTTTCTCCTTAAAATCCTTTAATAGCTTATTGTTACTCTTGAAACAAAGACCAGAATCCCTCATATGGCCTGTGAGGCCCTAGACTCCAGCCTTGCTGGTTTCGGGCTTTGTTTCAGCTCCCTCTTCTCCTGCTCATCGTGCTCCCACAGCTCCAGTCTATTGCCTTCCTGATCTCATTGCTTTCACGTGTTCTGGTCTCCCTACCTGTAGTATTTCCATATTTGCCTTTACCTAACTCGTGCTCTCATCCTTCAGATCTCAATTGAAGCTTTCCACCCCCCAGGAAGCCCTTCCTAACCACTCACAGTGGGTTAGGTTTGCACTAATACCCTGAGAGAACCCAGGACCTCTGTTTGGTGTGATTTGGCTTGACATCTATCTTTCCGCCTAACGTATAAGTCTCATAAAGACAGAGATCAATAGTAATAGTCTCATTGCTATTTTATCTCCAACCTCTAATAGGATACTGATAACACAGTGAGCCCTCAGTAAGTAAGTGTTAAATATCTGAATAATGGAAGAGTGGAAAGATTGCTCTGTAAATGAGCCATTGAATCCTGACTTAATCGTTTTAGAAAGTATCCTGATTTCTTTTCCCCTAAAATAAAATAAAGTATCTTTGGATATCAATTGTATTGTTTTATGATTCTCTTAAGATCCAAGAGGCTCAAGACAAACAAGAACAGTCCTTCAATATGAAAGAAAAAGACAATGAGATTAAGAAAATACTGAGTGAGATGGAGCAATTGAAGGAGCAACTCCAAGCCAAAGAGTCAGCACTACTAAGAACAGATATGGAAAAGCTCAGATGTTCTGAGAGACCCCAAGACAGTCATGATGACGTGAGCTATGTAGCTAAGGAGAGAGAGAGCCAACAGCTGCTGCAGGAAGTTGTTCAGTCTGAAAGCGACCAACTCAAAGAAAACAGAGAAATCATGGCTAAAGTAAGTTTCATCCTTTTCCCCATCTATGTGGGTTTTTTAAATATTTTGCAAGCAAATATTTTTGTAAAAACTAAACCTTTGGAAAAAGGAGTTAAAGTGTAACAGTTATAGTGTTTCTATAAGTTTCTTACAATTTCCTCTAATAGTAAAGCACCTAGAAACTGTAGAGGAACTTAAACTTGCTCGTTGTCACCTGGAAGAACAGGAGGAAACTATTGAAAAGCTGAGAGTGAGTCTTTCAGAGAGAGAAACTGAACTGTCGAGCTTTCAGAAGGAATCAGAAACAACCAGTGATGCATTACAGAAGAAGGGAAATTGGGGGGAAGGAACAGTGGGAGAAAACCCGAGGGAGGGACCAAACTGAATTACAAAGACTACCATTGACATACTAAATTGTTTTGGAGAGCATCTTGGGTTTTTTTCCTTAAAAAAAAAATATGCGTGTGTATATATATATATATATATATATACACACACACACATACACACATACATATGTGTACATACATACATATACAAACACATATGTTTTATGTATGTGTATATTTTGGCTGTTAACTTATTTTATCACTATTTTAAGATCCAAGAGTTTCATGAGAAACAGGAACAATTTGTTAGCATCAAAGAAGTCAGTGAGACTCAGGAAAAAACAAGTGAACTAGAACAATTAAAGGAGCAACTCAAAGCCAAAGATTCATCACTACAAAGTATAGAAAGCAAGAGGCTCGTGTTGACTGAGAGACATCAGGAAAGTCAAGAAGAAATAAAAATTATAATTAAGGAAAGAGATGAACTGAAAGGGTCACAAGAGGCCCTTCAAATGGAGAGAGGCCAACTCAAAGAAAACATTAAAGAAATTGTAGGTGAAGTAAGTTTCCCTCTTCTGATGTTTTTTGGATACAAAAATAGTGTTAAGATGATGACGATGATGTTCACTGTTAAGTTTTATTAATTTTCTTCCAATCATAAAGGCATGGAAAATCAAAGAGGAACTGCAAACTACTTATATTCTTCCTAAGGAGTACCAAGAAGCTATTAGCACAAGGAATATTTCAGAGAAGACAGATCAAGGAGCAAATATTCAGAGAGATTTAGAAAATTCAGAAGCTGAATTACAGGAAAAAGTAGGTCTTGTTTTGTTAAGTTGGAAAATGACATCTGATTGTTGTGTTCCTCAGATCCTGCTGGAATAAAACTACATACAGTAGACTAAAATGTAAAGTCTAAATGTAAATGTGATTACTAAATGTAAAGGTGATTACCTTAATGTAGAAACAATTTTCTTTTTCCTAAAAACCTCTGCGTAGGGCCTAACTTGTTCTATGATTTTCTCAGATTCAAGAACTTCAGGAAGAAGAGCATCAGCTTCCTAAGATGAAAGCCGTCAGTGAGACTCAGGCAAAAATGTGTGAAATGGAATACTTGAAGAAGCGATTTGAGGCCCAGAAGTCAACTCTGGAAAATATAGAAATGGAGAACGTAAGGTTAACTCAGAGACTCCAAGAAAACCTTGAAGAAATGAGATGTGTTACAAAAGAAAGAGATGACCTTAGGAGTGTGGAGGAGACTCTCAAAGTAGAGAGAGACCAGCTCAAGGAAAACCTCAGAGAAACCGTAACCAGAGTGAGTTACCGTCTTTCCCCATCTAGTAAATAGGACGTTGTGTCCTACAAGAACCATGGGCAGTAGGGTTGGTGGGACTGTAAAATTGATCCAACCTTCAGGAAGGTTGGAGAGGCATATTTGCTAATATCTTCCAGATATTTCACTAAGTTTATTCATGGACCCAAAAAGTCCAGTTGTAGCTTTTGTGTGTGTGTGTGTGTGTGTGTGTGTGTGTGTGTGTGTGTGTAAGGAAGATTAGCCCTGAGCTAACATCCATGCCAATCCTCCTCTTTTTGCTGAGGAGGACCAGCCCTGAGCTAACATCTATTGCCAATCCTCCTTTTTTTCCCTTTTTCTCCCCAAAGCCCCAGTAGATAGTTGTATGTCGTAGTTGCACATCCTGCTAGTTGCTGTATGTGGGACGCGGCCTCAGCATGGCTGGACAAGTGGTGCGTCGGTGTGCGCTCGGATCCGAACCCGGGCCACCAATAGTGGAGTGCATGCACTTAACTGCTAAGCCACGGGGCCAGCCCCTAGTTGTAGCTATTTATCCTGCACACATTACCACAATTGTGCAAAGATATTTGTGGAAGGATATTCATTGCAGCAAGTTGCAATAACAAAATAAAGCAAACAAAAAAAATAGGAAAAATTCTAACTGCCCATTAGTAGCGGCCTAATTAAATAGTGCAGCACATTCAGACGGTAGAATCCTAGGCACAGATAAAGGGGAAAGGGAGCACGGTGCTGATTTGGAAGCATCCTGTTAGGGATAAGGGTAAGTTGCAGAGTGGTGTATCTAGCATGTATTGACATCTAAAAGTAACTTAGAGGATGAGGACTGGGAGGCATAAGGAGGGAGGAAAATTTTTACTTCTTACCCTGTACCTTTCTACATACTGTTTAAGTTGTATTACTCTGAATGTATTATTTTTCTTTCTCTAAAATAAAGGACCTGGAAAAACAAGAGGAACTAAGAATTGCTCACATGCATCTGAAAGAGCACGAAGAAACTATTGATAAACTCAGAGAAGTTGTTTCAGAGAAGACAGATGAAATGTCAAATATGCAAATACAGTTAGAAAACACAAATACTGCCTTAAAAGCACAGGTATTTTTTTTTAATTGTTATCTGAGTGAGAGTTTGAATCAGACTTTTGTGTAATGAAACAGGATATGAATTAGCCTGAAATTGAAGACAAGTAAAGATTTGCCTACTTAATTTAGAAACTGCTATTTGGCTTTTTATCAATATCTATATCATAATTTATTGTATGATTATCTCAAGATCCAAGAACTTCAAGAGAAAGAACATCAACTTCTTAAGGCAAAAAATGATCTCAGGGAAAATACACATCAAACAGAGCAATTCAAGAAGCAATTAGAGGCCCAGAATTCAACCCTGGAAAGTATAGAAGCAGAGAAGTTCAAGTTGACTCAGAAACATCTTGAAAACCTTGAAGAAATAAAACTTGTTACTAAGGAAAGAGATGGCCTCAGAAGAGTGGAGGAAACCCTCAAAATGGAGCGAGACCAGCTCAGTGAAAGCCTGAGAGAGCTGGAAGCTAAAGTAAGTTACACTCATTCCCCTCCCTAGTGAGGAGACGTGGGGTTTTCTGACAGCAGCGAGCCTTCTTTGACATGAGTGGTACTGTTGGTGTGCGTGAACTGATATAACCTTTTAGGCACGTTATATGGTATTGTTCTTGAAAATTTTAAGTTCTGTAACCAGTGTTTTCTTTATAGACTTTATCCTACATGTATACTTAATCGGTTGTTAAGATAAAGAAATATATATATTTATATACACACATACACAAATACACACCGTAGGGTTGTTCATTGTAGCAATTTGTAATAAAAAATGGGAAACAATCAAAATGTCCATCAGAAGGAAACTGGGTAAACATGAGCAATATGTCAGAATACTATGCAGCACATAATAAAACCATGGAATAGATTTGCATGTCCTAATATGGAAGCCCAAAATAACCCTTAGGGGGAAAAACAACCTGTAGAATAGTACGTGTGTAATATGTTTGCCTCTGGGAAGTCGGAGTTGGTTGTGGGGAGGTGGGGACAGGGAGGAAAAGCTTGTAACTTTCTAACAACAAAGATGTAGATTAAGAAGTAATAGTTTTATTATTTTTACTAAGAAAATACATCATTTTCATTAAAAAAATACCAGTTAGTGTTAAGATATGTCACTGTTCTTAAAATTCTCTAATGATAAAGAATCTGGACAAACGAGAGGAACTAAGAATTGCTCACATGCATCTGAAAGAGCACCAGGAAATTATTGATCAACTCAGAGGGATTGTTTCTGAGAAGACAGATGAAATGTCAAATATGCAAGTGGATTTAGAAAATTCAAATGCTAAATTACAAGAAAAGGTATTGGGGGAAGGGAGGCTTATTTGATTGGATATCTGACTTATTTGTGCCTAAAATCCTTTGGGGATGTAAAATAGTTTAGCCACATTGGAAAACAGCTTGGCCGTGTTTACTAACACTGAATGTATACCTGCCTGTGCCCCAGCATATATGAGTATGTACCTAAGAGAAAAGAATGCATACTTCCACATAAAGATATGTACAAGAATGTTCATAGCAGCTCTAATCATAATAGTGAAAAACTGAAAACAACTCAAATGCCTATCAACAGGGGAATGGATACATACATTGTGATTTGTAAGTTCAAAAACAGGCAAACTCATCTAGGATGATCAAGGTCAGAATAGTGGTTGGCTGTAGTAAGGGGGCACACAGGAACCTTGTGGGGTGCTAGAAATGTTCTGTATTTTAATCTGGGTTGTAATTACATGGATGTATACATATGTCAAGAATCATTGAGCTATACACTTAATATTAGTGGGCTTATGTATATTATACCTCAAAAGAACATAAATTCTGGGGCCAGCCCAGTGGTGTAGCAGTTAAGTGCACACGCTCCGCTGTGGCGGCCCGGGGTTTGGATCCCAGGTGTGCACCGATGCACCGCCTGTCAAGCCATGCTGTAGCAGCGTCCCGTATTGGCAGATGTTAGCTCAGGGCTGATCTTCCTCACAAAAAAAAAAAAAAAAAAAAATTCTGTGTGGAATTTTGCAGAATATTAATGAGTGACATGGGAAGCCTATTGTCTTAATCAATTTAGAAACTATTCTTTATACTTTCCTTAAAAACCATCTGTATCCTAACATTTTATGATTATCTTAAGATCCAAGAACTTAAGACAAATGAACATCAACTTTTTAAGTTAAAAGATGTCAGTGAGACACAGAAAAAAATGTCTGAAATAGAGCAATTGAAGAAATAATTCAAGGCCCATAGTTTAACTCTGGATAAAACAGAAATGGAGAACTTAAATTTGGCTCAGAAACTTCATGAAAACCTTGAAGAAATGAAATCTGTAATGAAAGAAAGAGATAATCTAAGAAGAGTAGAAGAGATTCTCAAACTGGAGAGAGACCAACTCAAGGCAAACCTACAAGAAACCATAGTTAGAGTGAGTTATGCTCTTTCTTCCTATCCAGCAAACATGTTAATACAAGAAGCTTCCTTCTCTTTTAAATAAATGATACTGTTGGTGAAAACGTAAACATTATAACCTTTTAGGGAGACAGTTTGACAATATCTTATTAAAAATTTATCAACATATACATTTGTTACAGCAATTCCACTTTTAGGAATTTATCCTACCAATATATTCACACATTTGGGCAGAAATACCGCAGCATTCTCTGCACCATTGTTTGTGGTGAACAAACTCACAAACTCAAGGAGCAATCCAAGCGTCTGCCATAAGGCACTGGCTAAGTGGGGTTTGTTTGTATAGTGGAATACTAAGCATTAGAATGGGGCACTTCTTATGTGACATTGATCCAGAAAGGTGTCCAAGTGGTCTGAAAGGAGAAGAGCAAGTGGCCCAGTTCAACAGGGAACAGGACTAGGAAGGGTGAGGCGAGAGACAGGAACTTTTACTTTTTATCCTTCTGTACTGTTCTGATTTGTGGTGGTGTGGTGGTGGTTTTTAACTATGAGCATGCATTTTTTAAGACTTTGTTTAACTAGTTCCTCATTAAGAAAAGGTAATGTGTCTTTATATTATCATATTTCTCAATTTCTTCTAATAATAAAGGATCTGGAAACACAACAAGAACTAAAAATTGCTCGTATGCGTTTGAAAGAACATCGAGAAATTATTGATAAATTCAGAGAGAGAATTTCAGGAAAGACAACTCAAATTTCAAATATTCAAAAGGATTTAAATAAATCAAAAGATGAATTACAGAAAAAGGTATGTGTTGTTTTGTTCTTTGGGGAGTAATTGTGTCCAAAATTATTTGTGGAATGAGAAAGGAGATAGAAATAGATATGTGGATGTAGATATGTACTTGTATGTAACAAATAGACACTGTTTTCCTTCCTTGAAGGAATTCTGTTTGCATTCTAACTTGTTTTATAATTATCTCAAGATTCAAGAACTCCAGAAAAAAGAGCTTCAACTTCTTAAAATGAAAGAAGATGTCAGTAAAACTCATAAAAAAATGAATGAAATGGAACAATTGGAGAAGCAGTTTGAGGCCCAAAATCTATCTATGCAAAGTGTGGAAATGGATAACTTACACTTGACTCAGACACTTCATGAAAGCCTTGAAGAAATAAGAATAACAGCTAAGGAGAGAGATGAGCTAAGGAGGATGAAAGAGTCTCTCAAAATGGAAAGAGACCAATTCAGAGAAACCTTAAGAGAAATGATGGCTAGTGTGAGTTCAGAATCTACCCCTATCTAGTAACTATTTATAAGAATGAAGCTCTTTTGAAAAGGGAAACAATGTTTTTACTTTTTTTTTCTGGAAATTTCTACAAACAGTGAAGGATAATGGGAAAACTATTACTATACTTTTTCACACCAACAGGCAATACAGTTTTAAAAGAAGCCAAAATGTTTTTCAGAAAATGCCATTTTAATTCTTTATTTTTAAGAAAAAGATTATTAAATCAAGCAGACTATTTTCTTTAATGAAATTTCTAAAAGAGTTTTTAAACCAAGAAGTAGCATTATTCTCAGTGGAGACATATTTGAAGGATTAGATTTACAAAAGATTAAAAGCCCCATCTGTCTATCTCTACATGTAGATTTAGACATGGGCTCTAGTTGATGAGGTTAGAAGGAAAAAAGGCAGGATGAATATAAAAAAGGAAATTGTTCTAGTATGACTATTAACAGATATTTAGAATCATATATCTTAAAAAACCTGATTGAACCCTCTAAAAAGTAATGTAAAATTCGGACCAATAAGAAATTTTATGAAATCTATAAAAATCTTTTTCATTCTCGTATTTCAATATTGAAGAAAGAATAAAGTGGAAAACAGTATCATTTGCAGTCTCAGTAGGAACATCAGACACTTGGGAATCATCTTTATGTGGACCCTAACTAAATTTATGAAGAGATTTAATTCTTTCAACAAATATTCATTGAACAGTTAGTCATTCTTCCAGGTACTACAATGAGCAAGATAAACAAATGGGAGAAAATATTTTGTTCTGTACTCAGAAATACAGAATGTAAGTGGGGTATGAATTTTCTGGTCCAAGGTGCTGGAAAGAATATATGAATAGGGCTTGGAGCACCGTAGATAGTATAGATGGTTGTGCTAGTGTATTTAGTTGGCAGCAATGATTCTAATGCAGAGATTTGGAAGAGTAGGAACCAGAAATAAATCTAAAACCTAATTTGCAACTGTGAAGGTTACAGGAACAGATTCTATCTCCAAAAGATTTGTGGTTTTCCCACTATTTTTCCCAATGAGTTGAGATCACTCACTAAAAGATTTAGTGATACTATTAGTCATTTTCTGACCATTTTTAACATTTTTTGTGTTACAAGTGTAATATTTAATTCCTTTATTGAAACTTGATGTAAAAGATGTAATTGAGAAAGTGTATGATTAGACATTACATGTGAATGTAGTTACAGCTGAAGCCATGTTTATTTATTTGTATCCAAGCAGGACCAACAGAACCTGAAAGAGGTATTAAAACATGAAAAAATGTTTCTATGTGATGGAAAACAGCACCTTACAGAAAGCCTGAGAGAAAAGTGCTTTAGGATAAAAGTTAAGTGCCCCCTGTTAAAATTACACATGAATATTGGCAGCCTTCCAAAGGCCTGTGGAATCACAGGAACCTCTGTGGAATGAATAGCTAATGGTCAATATTCTTCTAAACTTTATAATCTAGTACAAGTACGTATGTGTGTACATATTTACGTATATACACAGACAAAACAGTGGGGTTTGTGATTTTAAGGCCTCACTGGAAAGGTGATATTTGAGCAAATACCTAAAAGAGGTCAAGGGTTGAGCCATGCAGTTGTGTGGTGGAGAGCAGTACAGGCAGGGAGAACAGCCAGGACAGAGCTCCTGAGGCAGAAGCTGCCTGGTGGGCTCCAGCAGCATCAACAAGGGGGAATGCTAATGAGGAACAAGGTCAGAGTTAACGGGCGGAAGCAGGCTGTGGGGCCTTAAAAGGACTTTGGGTTTTACTCTGAGCAAGATGGAGATCCACTGGAGAGTTTTGAGCATGACAGAGACGTGGTCTGACTTACAGTTAAAGGGATGGCTCTGATGGTTGTGTTGAGAATAGAGTGAAAGCAGGGAGACTATTGGAAAGACTAGTGTCCAAATCACGCAAAGATGGTGGTGGCTCGGCCCAGAGCCGCAGCAGTGGAAGCAGCGAGAAGTGTGTGGATTCTGAACATGTGGTGAGGGTAAAGTGAACAGGATTTACTCTCACCCCTATTAGAACACAAGATCCCTAAAGACTTTTTTGTGTTGTTTATGGCTATATCACTTAGCACAGTCCTACAGAAGTCAGCATTTAACATGTATTTCTTAAAAGTGCAAATGGGGGCCAGCCCGGTGGTGCAAGTGGTTAAGTGTGCGTGTTCCGCTGCAGTGGCCCGGGGTTCGCTGGTTCGGATCCTGGGCGCGCACCAACGCACTGCTTGGCAAGCCATGCTGTAGCAGCGTCCCATATAAAATGGAGGAAGATGGGCATGGATGTTAGCCCAGGGCCAGTCTTCCTC